ACTCCCCTCTCAGAGCCAGGGAGAGAACCCAGGAGTCCTGGCTCCCAGCTCCCCCCTGCTCTAAACCACTGGACCCCATGCTTCTCACAGAGCCTGCTCCTCACAGGGGTCCTGGCTTCCAAGCCGCCTGCTCTAACCCACTAGACCCCACTCCCCTCCCAGAGATGAGGAGAAAACCCAGGAATCCTGGATCCCATCCCCATCCCCATAAAGATGCAAAGGAAGGCGAGAGCCAGCATGCCAGTGGGGTAGCTAAAGGAGAGAAACAGCAGTGGGGCTGGGTCGGTCGCACCAAGAGGTAGCACTGTTACACCCCAGTTCTCTTCCCAGTGTGTGCAAACAGATGCCTGTCTGGGGTGTGACTCCAGGGTAAACTCCTGGACTCCTTCATCTGGAAGCAGGGAAATCAGCTCTTTGTCCGTCCCCTCACCATACCAGGGAACATGGGACATAACAGAGCAGGGGGGCGGCTGAGCCCCCTGCTGAAAGTGGGGAAACTGAGGTGGCTGCAGAGCACTGGCAATGCTGTGACACCTGCTAAGGGTGGGAAGTGCCCAAGGGCAGTGCACAGCATTTGCGGAAGAGGGCAGAGGTGGCTGCTGCCTCCAGCAGGGAGGGGGAATTTCTTCCCCCAGATTTTGGCAGCCTGATGGTCTGCGGAAATGTGAATGACCCTGAGATACGTTCCACTGCTGTGCGGTGTGGGGAGCGAAACCCAACCTCAGTTTAGGGGAGGAGTCAGTACCGTTCCTCTTCTCCCCCGGGGAACCTGGGGTGATGGTGCAGGCCTCAGGCCCTGATCACCGGGAGCGGAGGAGAAAAAGAAACTTGGCTTCAGCAGAGGGTTGAAGGTTGATCCTTGCCCGGGGCCTGGGATCCCTCGGCTGTTAAAAGTGGAGCGTGACTGAGCGTCACCTTGAAGGGAGCGGGGGGTTGTGTATCAAGGTCGGTTTGGGTTGCAAGCTGTCACTTTAAGAGTGGGTGGGTCAGGGGAGTGCAGTTGGCTGATCTACAGGGAAGTGTGGGACCAGAGAGAGTCTGGAAAGAACCAGCCTAGAGCAGATCCCTGTGAAGACACAGGAAGGATTCGGGCGCAGGGCTGTTAGCTGGGGTCCTTCAGAACATCCGCCTTGACATACTCTTGGGAAATGACTGTGTCTCTTTAAGACAGGATCCAGACCCTGCATCAGTAGCAGCCAAAGATCTGAATCCAGAGAGCCAGATGCCAGGAGCCAGTGAACATATTAGTGATCTGGTTTGCATGGAGGAGGGGATTTCCCATCTAGCTAGTAACACAAACAAAGTTCTGCTAAGCTTGGGATACCTCCCTGTCTGTAAACAGACCCCTGGATCTCTGCATACGAGAGCAGCCTGCTTTGTCTCCCTCTGTTTAAGGAGCAGCCTGCTTTGTCTCTGGTTTTTTTTTTTTTTTTTTGGATCTTCCTTGTTACTCTTCGGAAGTGTCAAAAATAAAATTGTGTTACGCTGCAACCTTCCAGCAGGAGTATTTGATATTTGTATCCACCTTATAGTACCTCCTTATAGGTTGTATTCCCCGAGTTTTTTTTATGAGAAAGGCATGCCAGACAATATAAAAAGCTTTACTGAAGTAAAGATAGACCACATCTACCACTTCCGCCCTATCCACAAGGCTTGTTACCCTGTCAGAGAAAGCTACCAGGTTGGTTTGACAGGATTTGTTCATGACAAATCCATGCTGGCTGTTACTTATCACCTTATTGTCTTCCAAATGTCTGCAAATTGATCGCTTAATGATTTGCTCCATTATCTTGTGCAATCTCTCGTCTGATCTCATTTCAGCTCATCTGTGATAAATCCCCCAGCTGGAGATTTGGCTGCATCCCAGACCCCAGCACCGATCTGCTGGTTCCCCAGCACCATGGAGGCTTCTCTTGCCGTCTGCCTCCTCGCTGCTCTCCTGGCTACGGGTGAGTCAGTTCTTTTCCTACAGGGTCCAAAGTTCTGACTTCTCCGATGTCACAAAAGCCCAGTGCAGCCTGTTGCATGAAATGGTTTATTAAAGTAACTACAAAGCAGCAGCAGAATAACAGGGGCCAGGTCTGACTGGAAACAGCCCCTGAGGAGATGCCTGGAAGTCCCAAGTTCCTGTGGCGATAAGTGAACCGATCCTGGAACTGGGAGGTAATGGTTGGAGTTGGAATCCCTGAAAACGTGCCCTGACTGGTTACATTCCCCAGCTGGCCAATGAACAAGGAGATTTTGGAAAGAGGATCTTCCACTGCGAGTTTGCCTGGAAGGAACCAGATTTGAATCTGAGTAACGAGAGC